ATATATATATATATATATATATATATATATATATGATGGAGTCTTATGATGAATTATGATCCCTTTTAACTAAGAAGATCAATGATTGGTTACTGCTAGTTATATGGACAGATAGATGGTAATTAATAGGAAAAACCAAAACTCCAAGTTGTCTAAGTAATTAATCTCCAAGATGGGTGTCTATTAATTGCCTTCCTTGAAACTTTTAATTAAATTTAATAGTGCCATACAGAAATAGGTTAATTTTCTCCTTATGATAATTATACTCAGATTTCAATTTTAAGGCACACATTTATGAAACATTTATGATGATCTTACCAGCAAAGCAGATAGAGGAATCGCATACGGCCAGGTGTGTTATTTCCGTCTAAAGATAAAACCCACAAGCGTGCTCAAACAGCTTATAAAAAGCCACCTATGATTCTCATTCAATGGCAAACTCTAAAGCAGCAAAAGAAATTTAATTTTTTATCTCTTGTCAGAAGAAGAGGAGAAATTAACCCCCCTCCCATGGCAGATATCAGGAACATTGTTTCTGGTGCAAATGTTCACGTTAACACCCCGAGAAAGATTGTCACCACCACGAGCAATAGTAATGATGAGACTGATGAATCTGCTTGTTTGCCTGTCAGTGTTGAAATGCAGGACAATGTTAAGGAAGCTGGCAACCTTTTGCAATTTCCCAGTATCAATGGATGGTTTGCTGAGAATTGCCCGATGTGGCCTGGTGAGTGCATTAGGAAACGTACTTCTTAGTTAACTTCAATTTTGTTCTTTTACATTGGCTCATAGAAAACATTAAAATCAGGTTTGTTTTGCCCTTTTCGTATTCCATCAATTGCATGCCTTACCCTATATCTGTCTTTCTTCTTCTTCTTTTTCCATTTTTGTTTTTCTTTATCTGATGTTGTGTATAGCATATAGATTCATTCTCATGGAAAGTCTTATGCCTTGTTCAATTTTATGTTTGGCTGCATATTATCTTTTTGCAAATATTGTTTAAAATCAACCTGAAAAAACCTCATGCTTAACCCTTTTCCCATTTTAATCAGAGATTCCATTGCTGAGGTGCAGCAAATAATCTTGTGTGCAGTGATCTCTTCCCATAACGACAAAAGAAGCTAGATGTATAGGCATCGATGAGTCTATTAATTTGGCATGAAGGATGATTTTGAACACTTAGTATACGTTATTATAAGATCACTGTTTTACCAGGTTTGTTTTATATATATATATATATATATATTATGATAGCTTATCCCACATCTGACTTGAGTACAATTATTAAATCCAAGTCCAAATCAATTAATGCTAATAACTTATGACGTGATTTAGACTAAAAAAGTTACACAAGAGAAATTGATTTCACCTTGTAAACCTGTTCCAACATTTATTCTCTTTCATCTCGAGAGTAGCCAAATAAAATCTCACTAGCTTTACTTAAAGAGTTACAGATCCTTCCTTTGATACAAATTAATTAATCAGTAATGGTTGTCACAGCAACATACGTGCTAAGTGCTATGTTTTTATGATTTTGTGGTTCAGATTCTGTAATAATTAATGTTTTTGAATAATTGGTTGCTGTTAATCCATATTTGTTTTCGGCTTTAGATATGGCTTATTGGGTTTTGCATTTCAGAACTCAAAATCACTAGCTATAGCTCATTGTCAATCATAAAATGAAACAATGAGAGCCACGTAAAAGCACTCCATCCGAATTCAGATTTAAGCAAAGCTGCCCTAATCATACTTAACTTGTAAAAAGTTTTCGAAATTTTATTGTCAAATTAGAGATTTGAGAATTTCTATTTCCACTGATATTGTCGGATATTAATCAGCTTCTTGATGTTTCTTGAAGGACAAGCGCACTTCCTAAAGGTTGAAAAAGTTCTATTTGAAGGGAAGTCAAAGTACCAAAGCATGATGGTGTTTCAGGTATACATTCATATAAAATATATATATACATATATTGGCTTTTGTCAGGGTCAGAATTACATTGATTAAACTCATGATGGAAATAGCTGATTCTTCCTGAAACTTATTTTGTCCCTCATTGGTTTGCGCATGATTCGC